CAACTGCACCACCTTAGGTGACAACATCCACAAATTCTGAGTCTCATCAGGCCTTTTTAAAGCAATGAAGCTTGGCTAACTAGAGATCATTTTTTCACTGGATTCTCTTCGTGATATGCATCAATGCTGGGCCTTGGGTGAAGGCTGACAGCACACACATATATGCCACTGGATTTTGCCCTTGCAGCACCCCAAACACAAGATTCCTCACCTCCTCCTAGCTGCGGGCTGAGAAGAGAAAGAGGCATATCCTTGCTGCTACTTCAGTTCCTTATGAACTGCTGAACCCCCACAGCAAGAACCTCCAAAGGATATAAACAGGGAGGAAGCAAATGCACATGACACACACTAAAGAATGAAGTTTCCAGAAAATAATTCTTCTGCTGATTTGAGTTGCCATGAGCAGTGACTCCAAACAATAACACATTCTGTTGGTTCGTATTGGTAGGTACCACAGGCAATACTGATCTGTCACCTGCAACATTCACCTGGGATGCTTCTGGGATGCTGTCTTACTCCTGTGGTACAACTAGAACTGAGATGTACTTAGATATAAAGAGGAAGATCATTTTTAAGACCCACAGTGACAGATTCAACTCTAACACATCTATGTGGTAACAACAGGTGGCCCTGAACTCTGCAGTTTTATTGATCTTGCTAAAAAACTAGTGCAGATAGTGCAGTGAAGCACCTGGTCCCACTCTCACACCTTATTACGGCTGTGAAGTCTTACCTAAATCCTGAATGCACAAGGCTTGAAATGGGGAAATTAATCCAACTGAACAAATGCAGAAAGGCTGATGCCTCAGTCAAGGTGGAACTGAATCTGAAAATGTCAAAAGGGTTCTCTCTGGGCACACCTGATAGAGATGATCCGTGACAAGGGCCCAAACCTCTCTCACCATCTAGATGTTAACTACAGCCAAGACATTTTAACACAACCTTAAGATGATGTCACAAGGGGTGGAAAATGAGATTCTGAAATTTACATCCCAAGAGATAGCAGAGATCTTTAAGGGCAAATGACTGGTTGAGGGATGTGCTGCAGGGCAAGGGGGCTGAGAGAAGAAAAACAGCAACAGGCACAAATGGCAACTAGGCAGGGCCTCAGCCAAAAGAAAACCCAGGCTGGTATTCCTGACATGTTCTGGAAGCTAAGACAAAGACTGAGAATTGACCAAGAGGAACAAGCATATGGTTTGAGAACTCAGTCAATTTTATCATCTAATCTGAATGACACTGAGCTGTTCTTGCCATCAATCATTACCTATCTCCTGCAGGAGGAAAGCAAGCATGCTCTGCTGAAAACAGCATTCTGACTTAAGCAAGACATAGGAAATCTGGAAGACCAGAGTCCAGGACTTGGTGTTGTCACTTCAAGGAGAGAGGCAAGGAACCCAGGGACAAGCAAGGAAGATTCCAATGTGGAAGAGTTCAGATAAGGAGAGGGCTCTTCATAAGGATGAACACTTATATGAGGGATCCTGACAGTAACTGCTACTCCCCCAGCAATCCTGTATCAGCCCATCTGGCCTCAAAGGCAGAAGAAATAGAGGAACAGAGATGACAAGAGGATGGAAACTTGAAGGACATAGCCTGCAACTGCCTAACTGCAAGGTGTCAGCAGAATGCAGAACATCTGGAGCATTAGGCAGCACCGCCTGCTTTCTGCCCAGGAGGTTATGCAGGAACACTGCATTTTTAACAAAGTCCTCTCGGAAGCTGCATCACCCTGCAGCATATGAACCTGGTTCTCTCACATACCCAAGAAACAGCTCTTGATGGTACAGGCAGAAATTTCCCTACTTCCAAACTTCTCCTAGAAGGCAAATGAGATCAGAGTAAAGCCAGAAGTGCAAACATACACACAACAGCTGAATGAAGTAAATCGTGATTGCTAGATATGATAGGGACATAACAATGCTGCTGTGGGGAAAAAAGGAGAATATCCAGCAGCTTTGAAAATGCACTGCTTCTAAGCAGAGGACAGTCATAGGAATCTTGGCCTTGCTTCCACATAGCAAAAGTCTTTCTCGGCAGGCTAAACCAGCAGCAGCAGCACTCCAACTGAGCTGAACTCAGTGACATAGCATACTGGTATCTCTGGCCAGAATCAATCACAGACACTGAAAGGAAAAAACAGATGGCCTGATGTTCCCTACAAGAAAGTTGACATCATGGCAAACTTTCACATTAGATGTGGTAACAGCATTTCAAAAGCTTGAAGTAGTATGGGGAGCAGAAATGCTTCAATCTGCACACTCCAGAGCTGAGAAGGAGAGCAGAAACGTGTTTTTGCTCTTTTCTCTTGAAGAGAAGCTGCTTGGACTGCTTATTTGCTTTGGAATTGGAAGGTCTAACCAGGCTAAGACTAGAATTGCCACATCTGCAAGAGATCCAGGTGTACAGCTATCAGGACATAAGAAATGCCTTCTTTAGGAGATTTTCTGAAGCTGCAGCTCCTGGTCTCACAAACCCATAGCTAGAAAGCTCTAACAGAGCATCAGCTCCAAGCAACCTAGTAACACCATGTGAGGGTTCTGGCACAGAGCCACACAAGTGGCTTCTTATAAAGTAAGGCTATAACTTGCGGAGCAGGTTCTTGTAACAGGACTTGTAAACAGATTTACAGCCAAACCCACAAAATTGCAGGAAGCCAGTAAATATGTATTCAAAGAGTGTCAAGGTGCTCAAGGGAAAAAAAATCAAATCAAAGGAAACTGATCACAAGGTGGGTTTTTTAAAATCAGACTGCTGAAAGGAGCTCAAATGGCACAGTGAGCAGTGCAGGCGTTAAGAATGAGGGAGGCAGGTGACATAGTAAAGATGCTGAGGAAGCAAAGCCTTCTTTGATCTGGAGATGATGCACCATCTGGTCAACAAGCACTTAAGCTATTCCACAACAAAACACTGTCTCTTGGCCATATACCAGAAATTGAAGGTTACAGCACTAGTAATTAATTTCTTAATTTCTCAATGCTCAGAAGAGAGAAGCAGCCCAAACACATGACTGGAGAAGCACATTAATTGGAAATATGCTGGCACAATACTGACAAGAACTGACACAAAAACAGCTTTACAGAGATGCCAGAACACGATGCCTCAGCACCTTAATGGGGCAGAAGAAGGCAGAGGGAAGATATCTGACCATCACTACCACTGACAAAACCCTGACCAGAAAGCAGACACTCACCTACCTCCCAGCCCCGAGTTCCTACGACACATGCCACAGTTAGCTTAAAGGGAAACCAGAAAACTTTATACCAAGCAAGCCTCCTATAAAAGTTTAAAATAGCAATGCTATCATCTCCTGGGTTTCTTTCTTGACACTTAAAATTTGCTGTTGAAGCAGGAGGGAGACTCAGCACTCCCTCAGCACAGAGAAGAACCACTCTTCCTCAGACAGGCAGCCAGGGTTCACCTGTCCCCAGTGGCAGGTTAAAAACCTCAGCACTGGGTAACTAATGAACACTTACACAACTACAGGGCAGACAAAGAACTTGAGTTTTAATGTGACTCGCAATTAACAAGGCCAGATCCACAGTTCATATGAATGTGCCCTGATATTTTAGCATGAACTAACTTCCAAATGCCTTGTCTTTATTGGCTGGGTTTGTTTCTTTAACTCTAATCTAGCTGACATAGGACATCCAAACTGAAGTAAAAGCATGCTTGTAATTCACTAAGAAAGCAATATCATTTTTAGCAATGAAGAAAAAAATACAATCAAGAAATCTTCCAGATACTTCTGTAGTACAGATAAGCACACAAACCCTGGATGGAATTCTGACATAAAAGATGATTATCTTAGATATTCTAAATGAATTCTTATTTTCTTTTGTTTAAAGTTGTTTTCCTTAAGGAAAAAAAAACCCCAAACTTATTTTTTTAGCCAAGAAAATAAAGCATTGTCTCAAATAGTTTTTCTGTCAAAAAAACCCCAAAAAACTTCTGAAAAAAAGTCTTCAAAAAATAATAAAACCTGTTCAAATTTTTCACTTATAATACAACTTGATTTCTTCATCAGCTGTCATAAATTTATTTTCTTTATTAGTTTTGTACTTCTGTATCATACATATGTATTTGAGGTATATGTATGTGTCAATATATACATTTTCTTTCAAAAAAAAAATTAAAGAAAGAAGAATCTCCAATAGCAACTTTCTCTAACAAAATCCTAGCAAAACCACCATTCTTAGTTCTCAAGGTATTCTAAACACTTGGAGAGTGTGGTCTCCAGTCTCTTTCCTGCTCTGCTTTGTGATTTTACTCTGTAACTGTCAACATTTCTGTAAATTATATTAATTCCACTTGTTAGTGCCACTGATTAATCCAGTAATATTGCTCAGGAAAAAAATAATTAAATTGTACAAAATTAGATTGACATTAGTCTGCAAGACACACTTCGAACACACAAAGATGTGTTAACAGTAATACAAAATATCATTGGGAAGATGGTCTAAGTACATATTATTTAAACTAAAAAACTATCTAATCTCCTGTTTCAGCTCTCCACTAAGGCTTGACAGAAAATAGGATTATCTCTTTATCCAAAGTAGAAATCTGCGACATTTTATAATTAAGAGTACTTTTTCTTATTGCAAGAGGACACAATCCCTGTTCTTTGGAGCATCTGATACAAGCTGTCAAAAATCAGGAACTCAAATCCATATTTATGTACTTACACTACTGGTGCTTTGCACCTAGGGAAACACGGAGCCTTTTATCTAGATATGCCAACACCTATTTCTTAATTAGTGACTTTCACAAGCTAAACAAAAGCAAATCAGAACAACCATACTGGTGCCTAAAATTCAGACTGAAGGTTACAGTTTAACAATGAAGACCATGGATAGAAACTAATTTTCAGTCAACAATATTTTATTAAATTTGATACTTAGCAACCATAACAAGAACATTTGTGTAATGATGTAAAATACAGGAATGGTTAATACAATTCAACATAAAGACACAAGACAAAATATCAGTATGCACATTACCTTAGTGTTCTCAAGCAGAACTTCATCTCTACCTAAGCCAGGTCCTATGACAACCGAGTGCAGCCGTGGTAACCACTTTTCCACCTCATGGACAGCATTGGGACTGTCACTACAAGGAAGTGTGGAAAACAAAAAAAGAGAGAGGTTCAAAAAGGCTTCATTTTAGTATTGTCAGAAACTGAATAGAGATGCAAGATAGAAAGAGGTATTTCCTATCTTGAATGTCAGGCAATTTTATCCTCCAAACTACCAAGAATCTGTGACCCAGGAAATATAAAATGGTTGTCCAAATAGCTAAAATGAAAAATTTCTCTCAATTCATTCTTTAGGGGATACCACATAAAAATGAGGAGGTAACTGCAAGTATCCACTACAGCTGTTACAAAATAAAAAAATAAAATCCAAGCAGGAAGCCAGTAATTTTTATAGTCTGTCACAATTCTCTTTTTAATGCTTCTTTGCAGAGGTTATACCTTGGAGAGAGATCCACCACCTCACAGGTATATATTGCAGCTTGCTGGAAATGATGTAATTGTTTATTACCCCACATGGCAGAATGATAAATCTACTCATATGCTTTTTTGTCAGTTGCTTCATAAGAATTTGTTCCAACTGAATTACAGCCAAATTGTCCCCTCTCCCCAAAAGGCAACAGGAGAAACAAGCTATTCAGTATGGGCATTATCTGCTTGTAATGCTTAAAATTTCTATAGCATTCTGTTTTTTGTCTACATTGGAAAACTGATGAGAAAATTCACTGCCAAATATAGCTGCCACAATACAGCATTCAGCCACTGACCAGAACTGTTTATTTTTTTCTGATCAGTTTTGTTGTGTAAATAGGTCAGGATATTTTGAAAGCACTGCCCAGCATTTGCAGTTAATCCTTACTGACAGTATGGAGGGAAAATTTAGCCTCCCTCCCTCCCCATTTCTGACATTAGTGACAACAATAAATGAACATTTTAACTGAAGCACAGGGGAATAAAGCTCCCTGTAGGCTGAGCAAGGGGGTACTGCTTCATAGTATTGCTCAGATTATTGTAAGCTTGCAATATTCCAACAAAGCTGTATTATTACAGACCAAAGCCACGGCATGTTTTTCATAACCGACAGCTGTCCTGATGGGATGCAGCACTTGGGAACAAGTGTTTAGGTTGTGTCTGGCAGAATCAGCAAATTCCACAATGATTTCTGCAAGTGCCAGGCAGGAGCCCAAGGCTCTTGCAGCTGCAGGGAGCGAGGCACCCCGCTCAAGGGCGCAGGGATGCGGTGCCTGGCCGCAGCCCAGCGACCCCTCCGCTGACAAGAGCTGCCTCACAACACCCGGAGGTGACACCACAAAACAGCTCTGCCAGAACAAGGCTGCTGGGTGGGAGTGATGACCTGCTGAAAGGGCAAGGGGAACAGAGAACCACGGCAGGACACTGCTGTCCCTGGAGCAGTCCCTGCTTTAGCACGCTGAACTTCCACTTGAACGCTGCAGCTCCCTCCTCATCTACCTCACTGGAAACAGCAGCAGCTTGAGAACTGTTAAACAGCTCACTTTTCTTTTTATTCATCACTGTACAATCACCTTATGATGTACATAGAGGCTGGAAATAAAAATGATTCAAGAAATAGCTAAAGCACTATTAAAAAAAAAAAAAGACAGGTTTTTAATATGTGGTAGGTTGAACATGTGAAAAACTGCCTGCAAACCAAACTCTAACAAACCATCACCATTTCTGAATGCACACCACTTTCCTTTGTTCACATACCGAATTTATTTTATTTTTGAAGAGCAATATATATCTCGATATGTATATATATACATTTCTCAAATAAATATATCTATATACCATGTATTTGTAAGAATACTGCAATTTCTAGATATATAAGGATGTCTGGATTCAACATACTTTGGATAGCAGAAGCCAAATACATTAAAAAAAGCTTCATTAAATGTAAGCTAAAGACAGAGCCATAGGTAGTATCATAAATGTTCTGCTCTTCTACAAATACCTAATGCAAATAATCTAACCATAAAAAAGTCTGTCAATTTATTTACATTCAGGATTGAAATAAGGCAATTTTGTCTAAAACTCAACTGATAATGTGCACTTCTCAAAACAAAGCCATCTCTTGGGAAATAAACAGTCCAATATTAAGCCACTCCTGAACACTTTGCCTCTGGTAATAATAAAAACCTACTGTGGAGCTTTTCATCTTCAAAGCATTTTATAAACATTATGTTCAACTCCTTTGCAACGTCACATCAAGAAGCAATCCAAGATGTGAAGGGTCAAGAGACTAAAAATGGTGATAATGACTACTACATAGCAAAATCAGCTATAAATACATACTGTAAAGTAACTGATGGATTTTGAATCTTCATAAAGAAAGCAGAAAAATACTGTCTCACAACAGCATCATGCCAGCTTCACTTCAAAACACTGTATGTTCACAATAGCTGTGGCTATGCAGCTACAGACACCATAACAATATCCTCTATCTACAGCTGCTCTGGAAGTGCTCTTGTGTTATCTCACAGCTTATTTCCAAACTGTGGTCATCAAACCAGTAGCATTTTAAAGCTGATAGGGTAGAAGTGATAAACAAGCAGCTTTCTTCAGGCAGGGGTAAACTCTGAATGTTCCTGACCATGGGATTTAGCACAAAGGCAGAAATTCCTCTAGCTCTTAACAGCTCCAGTCTACACCTGATGTTTGAACACACCCAGAAAAGCTCCCTGAGATCAGATGGCCTCTGCACTCTCAGGCTTCAAAACAGACAAAGCTCAACCTGCCTGTCGGGCACAGGCCCTGGACCATGGCAATTCCTCATCAGTGGAAAAAGTGGTTGGGAAATGCTAGCTGGCTTGGGCCAAAATCCTTGCTGAGGATCATTTGGATAATTTGCCTGTACAGATAGTTGCACCTGGGTACTGAGGAATAAGTATTTCTTGGCAGTAATTAGTTTATCATCACAGGAAAAGTCAATGCATGTTCTTGTTTGCCTGTGGATCAAAACTAGACAAAAATGTCTTTGGAAAAAACTACTTGGAGGCACCAGCACAGAATATCATGTCAAGTCCTGAGCTGTTCATGGTGTACTAATCTCACACAAAGAACATAGCTAACCTCCTTTGTCACTTCATGCCAATTTCTCTGCCTGGTTACTAACCTGATCTCAAACCTCTCCTTTTAATTATCACCTCCACTGCCCAAGACATTGAAAACACAACTGAAATTAGTACTGTATTTAAAAAAACCCAACACCTCTCTGGAAAGGTACAAGGTATAAAGAAGACGTCCCCTTGATCAAAAGAGATGTGATCTTCAAGCTTCGACAGAAATGAGTCAAGTAAGCAAGAATCACTAGGGTTAGGGTTCAGAGGTGCAGAGCCATATCACATCCAGCTTGATCTTTTCCAAAACAGGTATCATAAATGCAGTACCCCCACTCTAAAGTGCAGAGCTAGTAATAATATAAAGAGAAGGAAGAAAATCTCCTAAGGTCAGAAGAAAACAGCATTTCAATTTCTGCGAAGAAGGTAAAACCTTTGAGAGAGACTCGGATTAAATAAAAATCTAGGATTTTCCAAAATAAAGGAAGTCTTTTTGGAAAACGATAGGGCAAGGCTTTAGGTACTAGTCTGGCTTTCCCCTAATATAAAAATACAAACTCTGCACCATGGACATACACAATAGGAAAAATGAAATAGGAATAATTGAGAAGCTGAATCCTAGCAGTAACACCTGCAAACATGGGAGAGTGAACTACAGTACCATTGGGCTGATGTGTTCAAATTCTAGTGACAAACCACATCAGGCAATAAATGGGGAAAGAAAAACAGCTACTTCCAGCTAATCACCATGTGCTATGTGACATGTTATCAGATGCCACTCTGATGAAAATCTAGATTATGACAGCTCACTGGTGGTTCAATCAAGCAACTAAACAACACCCTTCCAATCTCCCAAACACTTCCTCAAAACCTTAACTTGTCTGCAAAGCAACCAATAAACCTCTGGCTGCACACACTGAAGAACCATTACAGGGTAAACACATAAATAACAACTGCAAGACAACAGAATAATTAACAAGAAATACTGAAGGAGCTTCTGTAACTTGTGTCATATCTGTGAAGCTGCATAGGTTAAGAAAGAGTCTAAAGCTAATGTCAGCAATCACTGAATCAACTTTCACAACACTGTCCATTAGTCAGACCTAAACAAAAAAGCAAGCAGACAAAGGAGGTTACATGGAGGCACATGAGAAAAAAAGACACCAGAGATGGGGTCTGACCAGCTTTCCTTGGCTATTAGTGAGAGGTAAGGGGAGGCTGAGATGATGATGATCTCTTGGGAAGGCAGACACAACACCTTTACCATTTGCTGTCCCTGAAGCTGCTGGGTAGACAGGACCAAGGTATGGTGTTCAGTATCTTGCAAGATTATCTTTTTCCTCTTTTCTCTGCTTACAGACTGTATTGAGAAAAGTATTTTCCATGGCAAAACAGACTAGGATTCTTCAAATTAAACATCACTGAGTCTCTAAAATGGTGAGGACAAATTTTCTTTGTAAAATATTAGTGGCTTTAGATAACTTTTTCCACATTAACCTCATGAAGTTCAATGAGTGCAAGGCGCTGCCCCTGGATTGGGCCAATTCTAGATATGAGAACAGACTGGGAGAAGTCATTTGAGGCAGCCTTGAAGTGAAGAGCTTGAAAGAAAGAACTAAGTTAAGCTTTTTGCTCTTCAGAACTCTTCTGTATTTTGCGATTACACAATAAAAATTGTCCTAAAACACAGTTCTGTAGATCTTAATCTTAGGGAAAGTTTGATGTAATTACCTTTCCAAAAACAAACAAACAAAAACTCTTAACATTAAAAAGAAAAAAATCCCCAATAAACACCAAAGATGGTGGCTACTGCCCTAGTATCACCCACAGTTCCTAAGCATCTTGTAGAGCTGTTTGTAACAGATATCTGACAGGGGCCATCTGCTTCAAAGTCTGCTCTAGGTTGGTCACTGCCCAGAGTAGGGGGGGACACTTGACAGCTAGGACCTGAAACATCACTCCCATCCCCAGCTCTCCAAAGAAATCAAAGTTTGTTCTCT